CACATGCGCTCCTTTCTCATAACTCAAGGAAGAATTCTGTGCTTCTGAATGGGGTGAGAATTTAGCCAAATCCCGGTTACATCGATTGGGGGCGTCGTAAAAATTGAACTTGTACAGGTACACTTACTCAAAACTTCTGAATTCCACTGCAATGCAAAGTGCTTCAGGAAAAGCAATCTTCATTGTCATATAATTACCATTTTCAGTGCTTCACGTGAGAGCGACAGGAAGGGTCACGCAAAACTCTACTGGTTCCCCTTCTCACTACATCCTGCATCCCCTTCTCTATGGCATCGAAGTTATCGAAGTATATAGGGTAAGCTTTAGATAGTACTATACCCACTCCTTCCCACACCGCAGACAATCACTGATACATTCAAATAAAAAGGTGCATTGGTTCGATCGACCAGCACCATCCATTCCTCAATTTGATGAACGTAGAGTATGGTCAGAAGCGATGAAGAAAATCTTGACTTCAATTTTCCCATCTCCTCATCAATTTGGATAGCATTCAATATTAATTTGCAGAGCCCTTCTAACTATACGAAACTGCCGAACCACGTCTTTACAGCACCTCAATCGTGCGGAATAAGACTCAGCAATAATACTGAATACCTCCTTGGAGGTAAGTCTTCCTGATAGTATTGCTTTTAGACTCCTGCCAGCCAAAATGTATTAGAGTCATTTTATTCAAAACGACGCAGGTTTTTCTTGCGGAAAAACAGCACAGCAAAGGGGACCATTAGCTGATATTCTAATGGCATGTCAATAAGACCCTATCGTTATCAGCAATCCATTTCCAGCGCCCGTGTAGCATCTGAGCACCCAACAGCTTAATTTCTTCAGCAAGTGCGGGTAAGGTTCTGTTTAGGTCTGCTTTGGCAATCGACCCCCTACCAAAGCGTTTGCCACTGACCCGTGCCTTTTCGTGACCAACATAGTTAAAGTCGCATACACATGGTCGGACAAACGGCTATTGAATTCAGGGTTTGATAACTTATTTCGAAAACTGCCGAGCTCCGGGCTGCGTGGGACTTGGATTGGTCTAAGTGGCAATGGCCTATCTATATCGTATATCTTTTTCGTGATTGTGGCAAAAGCTTTG